ATGATAAATGGGATCACCGATGCTACAAATAAGTCTGCTTTATTTCACATTAGATCCAGGGTCTACAAACTCATGCTACGTGTATAGCTGTTGGAGAGGGGGTGGGGGGGTGAATATTTAGGTTTTATAGCAAAACATTTATTTACAGAACAGAGAAAACACAAAGCAGCCTGTAGATTCAGCGCTTTTTAGGTTACATCAGGTCAGCAATCGCCGTAACGTGAATCAATTAAAACATGTTTTTAGGTGTTTGCGCCTGAAGTGTCAGCAGATCTGTGTGTGAGTCATCATTTGTTCTCATTAGTGTTTCTTGGAGAAATCAGTAGCGCTTGAGGAAATCAGGTAATTTGTATTCACAAATAAGCATACTCGACCCAACGACGTCATGTCATTTGTAACAGAGAAAATGTTTTTTGCGCGTGTGTGTGTTTGTAAGGACAAAAATATCTTCTTTTTTTTCACAATGAAAAAGCAATTTCTACATTGGTCTTCTTACGAACGCCAATGAGGCCGGGCATCATTAGCTCGATACTGCTCTCCAGTGGATGCAAGGTACATTGATACTCTCGAAGTTCAAGCGCACAGGGAGGGTTTTCTACTATATTTGTAGAAATTGAGTCTCAAGGTTTTGAAATGCCAGTGCTTTGCAGCTTAAGATTGTATAAGTGAACCTAAACCTAAACCTAGTTTTAAAGGACGATTAAAAACATGACTAAGAAAAAGCTTTTAATAATTTAGGTCTGGGATTAATCCATGTCTAAGAAATCAAGCCAATTTTTTTTTCCTGCATGTCTTGGATTATTGAGTTTCACTGTAAGGATGACATATGTTCAGAGTTTGACAAAACAAGACATGACTAAAACAAAGGTCTCTACATCAGAACAGTATCTTAAAATCATATCCTTAAGAGATAGGAAGAAAACAAGGAGAAAAGAAGATTACATGGGAACTGGACTGAGAATTTATGAAAAAAAACAAACAGATTTTAAGTGTGTGAATCCAAATTTGAAACTGTCGGTTCAAATTGCTGTCAGTATGTACATTACAGGTCAGGAGAGAGGTGCAACAGTGAGTGTATAGCCATGAAACCACACTGTAAAAGACAGAGGTGTTCGATGTTCGGAATATTAAGAAATGATCAACACAGAAAAGAACCATCAGATTTTGATACACCATGCAATACTATCTGTAAAGGATGACTGTGATCCCAGCCTCAGTGCCAATTAAGTAAAAGCACAGACAATTAAACACTGCCAGTGATGGATTACCCTCTACAAAACTCAACATTATTGAAGCAGTGTGAGATCATCTTGACAGAGAACAGAACAAAAGGAAGAAACATCCAAAGAAGAGCTTTGAATGTCCTCCAGTAAGCCTGGCGAACTATTCCTGAAGACTACTTAAAGAAATTACAACAAATCTTGCTTAACAGATTGCAGGCTGTGCTGATGAATAAAGGCGGCCATACTAAATATTGACTTGCAAAATTATTAGAACTGTATAAAGTCTGTTTTGTCCTTATATACTGTATTTTCATCAATACTGCACATATTTCAAAACAGTGCACCCATCATAGTAAAATACAGTATAAGGAAATGAAGGCTGACTTATTTGGACTTAACAAATTCATGCATAGTAGTTTCATATTCTAATAGAGCTTAAATCAGGGAGATCAAATCAACTCACACAACTGTTATAAGTCAATTCATCTTTCTCCTGTGTGAAGGACCTCAGTCTGAGACCTATAGTCTGACTCTATTCAATCTATAAAAGTTGTGCTCCACTGTCAGGAGAGGACATTTTGGGCCTTCTATGGATGCCAAGAGCACATGGACTTTCGTGAAAATGACAAAAATGATGCAGTTTCCACATTTTATGGCCTCTAGGGAGATTAAATAATAATTTTCTGGAGACATTATAATTTTTATTGCTAACAATCACATTACTTTTCAATTTAACAGAATTTCAGAAGTTCTATGCCCCTTTGAGCAAGCACTTGGCAACTGTGGAAACAAAAAACTCCCTATAAACAGGAAGAAAATCTCAGGCAGAACCAGGCTCAGGGAGTGGCAGCCATGACTGATTGTGTGTGTGTGTATGCTAAAAGTGTACTAACTCTTCTGTCGTGTTGACAACCCAACCATCCATCCATCCAACATACAGATATTGATTACATCACACAGAAAACAAGCAACCAGGTTTTCAGAAAAAACGTCAGACCAAACAAATCAGAGGCAAGTGCTCATCCCTGAAGGTAGCATTAAAACTGAAAATATTCGGGAGCCAAAACCATTCTTTAGCATATCTGTGTTCATGTTTGACACTGATAACCTTGGATCCACATTTATTGGTTCATAGTTATAGTCAAGACAGATTCTTCAAGATTGGCCATGAAAGGAACAAATTATCTTGATGTAAGGGAGGTCTCTGTAAGGTGAGACCTCCCTTAAACAGAATGCAATGAGGCTGCTTCAATCTGCTGAGACGGTGTAAAGATGATTCCCTTCACAGGTCGGTGTCTCGTATACCAGTTGTGAAACAAAATCCCACAACTTCAGAGCTCTAGTGGTGTCAACACACCATCCCTCTGTCATACTATCCATGATCATTGTTAGTGCCTTGGGTGACATGACCATACAACCCAGCTTTATGTGCCTATTGCCAGTGTTGGGGTTGGCACTCAATAAAAAAGTGATGAATTACAAACTAACCATTACTTTCCCTAAAAGCAGTTCAGTATGTTACTTAATTACTGTCACATGATTACCAGTTAGCAATATAAACCTTGTGCTTCAGTCCCACACACCAACACAAATCCCCAAAATACATAGAATCTTTCTTTTAGTGTTTACATATGAACACAAAACCCACAACAAAAAGCAAAGATGAAACCAGCTCAAAGAAACAAATGCCACAGTATTTAAGTGTTACTGTAGAAACATGAACAGGCACAAACAGGCTTCAAGCCTGACTGCTCATCACTGTCTTTGTTACCTGATAAAGATCAGTCTCTGGCTCCTGGGCTGGGCATGCACTCACCTTTCAAATCACTCTGGGTTCTTGGCTAGCTTTGTGTTAGCATGCCGTCTGTGCAGGTGCTTCCAAAGAGCAGAAGCTGTGTTAGGACTATAAAGCAGTTGTTTCTGTTCTGGACGATTTACACTTTGCCATCATTCAAAACTAAAACTAATGTTAAATTATCTGTGGTAAACCGCTCCACCATTTTCCTGCTCCGGAACAGGAAATGAAATCAGCTGATTCCAGCGCAAGTGTGCGAAAAATAAAATGAAATATTTTTTTTCTTTTCTTTATATCCACCCAGCATGTAGATAACAAGAAACATTGTAACACAAGTAATGACATAATATTGAGTTACATTACTGAAAAATGTAATGTGATCCAGTACAGTGCAGTAATGCATTATTACTATTTTGTGTGCAGATTAGAGTTTAATTAAGTTTAATTAATTTAGTTTATTTAAAATAAATAAATTTAAATGTTAAATTTATGTTTTAGAGTTCATGTGCGTTTCCTTCAACTAACTGTTTTAGTAGTCATGAAAAAAAAAGGAAATCTTACCAATAATCCACACAACACAAATGGAAAAATTATTATCAATTTCAACTTAAATTGAATTGATGTGATGTAATGTGATGTTCAGCATATGTCTTTCAACCACATGACCAAAACAAAAACATCTCAACTTCTCAGTTTCAGTAGAATATAACAATAAGAATATATAATATAAAATTATTTCTGTATAGTGATTTTCAGTATAAAAAAAATGTTTTTCAAAATAGAAGGAGTTAAGCCAAAGACAGATAATCAGGGTATTAATGCCAAATGAGTGAGTTTAAAGCCAGATATACTGCAGGGTACTTACCCTTAAGGAAACAATCTTAATAAATGCCATCCATGCTTAGGATGCAGCATATGGTCTTAACATCTGAAAGTCCTCTGGACATTGCACTATTAACTTTATTATCAAACAACAATTGCATCATAGCACTAAAACACAGGAAGACACAAAAATAACATCTGAGAGCTTAATCAAAGCACATAAACAAGGGATTGTAAAAAAAAACAAAAACGTTCTGTAGTAGAAATCACTGTGTGAGATCAGGTCTGATAAACTGTTGTGACTGATTATATTTTGTCTGCATTCAAAAAAAGTTTGACCTTTACGATGCAAAGAAATTAACATATATGACCAAGATCCGGAAAGGCTGTTGTATTTTTTTTTAAATATAATATGGATTGAGGCAAAGTAGAAAACTGTCATGTTACTCTTACAAATCAAATATTTACATCTGGGGGGGGGATTGCTTTTTGCGTTTTGCTAAAGACGGAAGAAACTATCGGCTTGTTATCAGCAGGCAGTTCAAAAGCACACATATGCGATGTGATTACCATACATGGCAAGGGTTGCTTTCTATGAAGGCACCATTAATATTGGTGTAAATAACCTAACTGCTCGAATTTATTGTAGACTGCTTTGTAAAATCCACAACAAGATGCACAGGTAACAGGATATACTTGAAACCGTTTCACAGAGTTGCGTTTCCTCGTATTTATGGTGACATCAAGAGGATGGAAAAAGAAAATACCAGGAAAACCGATATGCTGCTAACGTGTGCATAATGAATGAATAAATTAAATAGCATTAATTATTAATGTTTGCTTTTTCAATTATACTTATCTATTTTTGGTTTGCTTTTGCTTTTGTGTAATGCAAACGCTCTAATCGTGCAAGTTATTCCTTTTTTTATTTTGCTCTATTTTGTTCAGTTCTACTCAAATCTATTTGTTTCTGCTGAGTTCATTTCTATACTCTCATATCGCCATTGGTGCATGAAGATGGGAAGTACAACCACGTCGACCAATGAGATTCGAGTTTTATTCCATTGGTTTGGTTCCGGAGTGGCCCGTTATTATTTTAAGTAGCAGGTTAAAATCGGTGAGTATTTTTTGTCCCTCTTGTAACATCTGGGTGTCTCGCGTCTAGTTAGCACTGCGGAGGGCGTGTAGAGACACTTTCGTGTTGATTGTAGCGCGTCGCTTTGAACGACTGGCTCTGTCTGAATCCCAAAGTAGGCAGATCGGGGTGCGCTCTCTGCACCAGCTGACGAAACATTCACGGGTAGTAAACATATTTAACGCGATCGGTCACATAAATCTGCGCTGACTCGATCTGCTTGCTTGAATACGGTTAGTGTGGCTCACACGGGCTTTAGGCCCGCAGTCTTATGTGTAAACAAACGGACTAAGAGGATTTCTCCAGCTGGTGTCTCCCCGTCAGAAGCTCGTCACTTCCAGAACCAACCAAGAATGTCTGTGTCGCCCACCATGTAGGTCTGCAGCCGCTCCCCCACGCTCTGGACTTTAACTACATCGCTGTTGGTTAACAAAAAGCATATACTGGACCTTAGAGAGCACAACGATGCCCCCAGGCTCTTCTATCGACCTCAAAATACTAGATAGATGTCGAAAATATACGGATCGTTGTCCATTTGCTTCGGTTTAGCAGCATTTGTTCACGACTGTGATTATACATAAGCAGAAGATGGCGCCATTTCTCAGTTTTAAACACTTTTCATCAACAGGTCTCATCAACTCCCTCTGGACGGTATGAACATGTATGCTGTGCCCAGCCCGGGAATACCAGGCTGTCCCCCAGGATTAGAGTACCTGACGCAGGTTGGTAAAGTACAAGTGACTCTAAATGGAGCAATCTGCATAGCCAAAAGTCTAAATTGATGCTCAAGGCCAGACATAATGAGCAATATTACCTTCCTTCTGGTTCCTAATATTAAATAGCCACCTGACACAGCAGAAAATCACATAGCAGTGAAAACTATGGAAACATACCCTGACTTACTCATCCTTTGTGACTACATAGATTAAAATGCTGTGTAGCATTGACAATATTTCCTCTAAATTAAATAGCTTAAATTGAATGCTTAACCAAACTGACGTAACTAACAACCCTACATATGATGATCACCACTGATGTTCACACAGGCATTCAGACATGTCACAGTAGGAGAGTGTGAAAAATTAAAGAAAAAGTGACTGAATTCTGTGCAAGCTACACTTGTTACACTTGTTGTTAATAGTGACACTTTTGCTTGCTGTGATAAGTCAACATCTGCCCTGTGAATAAGCTCTGTTGGAAAGAGTTGCTAGTTAGTTGAAGCCACCAGTCTTTTTCTTCATTCCTTGCAGCTTTAGGTCCATTCATTAAAGTTGAGAAGAACATAATGAAGTCCATGGTAAAAGTATATTGATCCACTTAAAATAAAGTGAGATGCTCTGCATGTGTTTATTCCAGAGGGTAAGTTGTTATAATTAGTAAAAGATGTGAGACCAGGCTGTTCTGATCCAATCAAAGGCTGCCTTTCAGAACAAAAAAAAATCAAGTCATCAGAGATAGATTGGTACTCATATGCTAGACTGTTTGTTCCCACTGCTTTGCTCAGCTTCTAGAGCTCCATTTAAAGTTTGACAAATTTGAACAGTGACAAAACTTGTCTAGATTAACTGGCTAGCAAAAGTTTGTAGATGAGGCAGTGGCTCTCACATCCTTACTCTGCTGCCATAGCAACAACTCTTTTCTCTGATCCCTCTGGCCTCGCCTGCGCCTCATTGCCTTCATCCTTTTTTTGTTTTAGAAAAAGCTTCTTACGTTCCAGCTTAGTTACCACCAGAGGCCAAAAGTGACAAACACAGTAATGGGAACGCTCCCTCTGTCTCTTCTGGCCTCGCTCTCATAAAATGAGTGTGTGCCAAGTGATTTGAAGTTTATCTGCTGCTTGAATGACCCAAAGAGGGGAGAAAAATACCCTACTACCATTTTTGATAAGAGTTATCATAATTCGGGGGGAATGTATTGATCCAGGGCTATAATTCTTCTATTCTATTGATTATTTCTATCTGAGATCCAGGGCTACTCATTAAAACAATGAACTATAAAAATAACAGTGAAACGAACTGTTTCACTGTTATTTTTATAGTGCCAAATCACATCAACAGTTGAGTCAAGGCAATTTAATAGTAAAGTAAAAACCCTAAAATAGTGAAGAGAACTCCCCCAAAATAACACAACCCCCTATAAGCAATCACCTGGCAACAGCAGGAAGAAAAACTCCTTTTAATAGGAAGAAACCTCTGGCAGAACCAGGCAGGGTCAGATGTAGAAACGTTTTCTTAGAGTTGCATGAGGGTGGCATGGAAATCAGATTAGGTGGCAAAATCAAAGCCATTTCTTTACACATATGCAGGTGTTACCTTCTATAATATGTACTATATATGGATAAATACATTAAATGCAGTAAGTATACACATGTTTCATATAAACATAATCTGTATCTTTCTTAGACCAATAAGTATACAATCCAGAAAAGTACACAACATGACATGGATCAGTTAGAAATTTCTTCACTCTTCTTATTAGAAATAATCAAATTGTCCATCCATCCATCCATCTTCATCCGCTTTGTCCGGGGCCAGGTCGCGGGGGCAGCAGCCTAAGCAAATAATCAAATTGTTACACGCCTAAATTTACACAAAACGTCAAAAATGTGCCGTGGGTTGCTTCTGACAACAAGAAACAAAGCCATTTTGGTTTAGGGGCTGAACCATTTTTAATGAGGGGGGGGGATTATACAGTATATTTCATTTTAGAATTGATATTCAATGCTAATTGAAGCTAGGCTCAAAGTGTTAATGATAGATTATTTTAATAAACAACTGTCATATGCAAATCTTGGGTGGTACTAGAGGTGGGAAAAGATTATTTTAGGGTGGCACATGCCACCCCAGGCCACCACAGTAGATCCGCCCCTGGAACCAGGCTCAGGGAGGGGGGGCTGTTTCCTGTGACTGGGTGGCAGTGAGGAGAGGGAGAAATAATACAGCACCTGTTATTTATGTTTATGCCAGCATATATAACACTACGCCACCAACAGCTGCTCCTCTCAAGTGTTACATAAAAAAATAACATTGCTTATGTGGTTTTCTAGGTAGATCAGCTGCTCATCAAACAGAAAGTTGAGTTGATTGAAGGTATAGTACGTAAATAGTTTACTACATGCATATTTTAAGGATGTCTTTAGCGACAGTTGTTCAGTGTTTTTTTGTTTTTTTTTTAAATCCATGCAGCTCTTATTGGTTTTGAAAGCAATAATAAGTATGAAGTTCGTAATGTCATGGGCCAGAACGTCTTCTACGCTGTCGAGGAGAACGACTGTCTGAGTCGACAGTGTTGCGGTCCCCTGCGCTCCTTCACCATCCACATCCTTGACAATTTTGGACAAGAAATCATCACTGTCACCAGACCACTTAAGTGCATGTCATGCTTCTTCCCTTGTTGTCTACAAGAGGTGAGAGTAACTACGTTTAGAGACATCCTCTTTGTATATGTTAAATTACAGTATTTCCCTTTGATCACCAAATCACTCATTGTTTACACCTTGCACCACATCTGTGATTTTTACATGTATTTTTTAAAAGCTGACTAGAAATGAAACTGTTCTTTAATAACGCTTCATTCAGCTGGAGGTGCAGGCTCCCCCCGGCAACACAGTGGGCTATGTGATACAACAGTGGCATCCCTTCTCCCCTAAATTTATTGTTGCTAACGAACATAACGAACCTGTACTGAAAATTCATGGGCCTTTCTGCGGATGGAGCTGCCTTCCAGATGTTGACTTTGAGGTGGGTTTACCCAAACACAGAGAAATCTGTGAAATTTGTGAAAACACAACATGACATGGTTACATTCACACCCACTGGACATTATTTTTTTAAAGGAAGCCTCCTCGTGCTCTGAAGCGAGAAATGTGTTTCCAGTAACACAAGCCCATGGCTTGAATGAAGCCACTGCACAGGGCATGCTCTTGTGTGGCATAGTGTAGGCTTTGTTCCATGGCTCAGCTAGTTTTATTAGATTGAGCTGTGAAGGGGATTTGGGTCAGTGATACAGGCCTTTTGCCAGATCCAAAGAAAGGGTAACTGAAGCATGATATTACCATCCCCTAGCTGCTTTGAACTCATTATGGAGCGTACAAATCTCAGATTTCAGTGGCAGCGGGCAAAAAACAAAATCGAATTATGAGCTGTTCGATGATCCTGTTCCAGTAAAACCAAACAAGTCCAGGGAATGACCTTTACGCTAATGCAACACATGTGCACAATCTGTTTTCTTATGCAACTCTTTCCACAGATTTTAACAATCGATGAAGTCAGCAAGATTGGGAAAATCAGTAAGCAGTGGACAGGGCTTCTTAGGGAGGCATTCACAGATTCAGACAACTTTGGTATCCAGTTTCCCATGGATCTGGATGTGAAAATCAAGGCTGTGATGATCGGCGCATGTTTTCTCATTGTAAGTTCAACCTTCACTTACCTTTTAATCAAAATGATTATATGATGTCATGTTAAGGCTTTGTAAAGGATATAATTTTAGAGTTCTTGAGCTGCAGATTAGGTGTAATTTTCAACACAGTCAACCAGCAGCTGACCGACTGACTTAATGTGTAACTTTGCCCTCATTTAGTGGGAAATGTGGTTTAGAATCACCTGAATTTCAACTAATAGAAAACAGAGTTTGCTAAATTCTTTCAATATGTTTTTACTTTTCTAGAAAATTGGCAGTACAAATTTTATATATGCTTTGGCTGATGCATTTTAACAGACGATTAAGCATTACATCGTTACATTTTTAAACATTTTTATGAACGCTTTCTTTTTCCTTATTTTGCATACAGGATTTCATGTTCTTTGAGTCAACTAACTAGGAGCCAAACCGCATTTCCTTGTACCTCTGGAAGAAGAACGAGGCCTCAAAGCCATGATGATTAGTCCCAAATGCCCTAACATCGAACAGCCTTCAAAGGAATAGTTTAAAGAAAGTACCAAATGGTACCTCAACGTCAACACTTTGCATGAACAAAGAAATAGAAGGTTTGTTTTAGTCTTAGCTGCTCAGGTTTGTTGCAAAATCATGTCATTGGGCTGAAAGTGCAAAATGCAGTTTTAGTTTAGCCAGTGTTCATGAAGATTTCATTATTATAATTATTATCTTGTAATTATTTAAAGGAAATGTTTTTTTTAATATATTTTTTGCTGTGTGTTTTACATTGTGACCATTAAGTCAATCTGGAACCCCGAAAAAACTTTGCTATTACTGCAAAATAACGTTTAGGGTAAAGATACATTTATATACAAGGAAACAAAAACGGAGCACAGTGGTGTAGGAAAAAATGGTTTGGTGTTAATATGATTAGTATGAAACCCTCATATGCAATTTGGTCACATTACAAGTAAAGATACTAATTTACTTAATCTACTCTGCTTGTATCTACTGTGTGAGAACTAAGGAACTCGTTTAATTCAGTTATCTGTAGTTCTGATATCCAGTGCCCTGTTTTTTATTGCTTTATGTTTTGGTCATTTGCCACACATAGCGATGTCTGTGCGCACTGCTTTGAACAAGTGTTTGTGTGTCTGTGAGCTATGATTGTACTTGTCTGTGAACAGAAGTTATAATACCATAAAATATTTTTTTCCACAGTTTTTTTTTTTAAAGGAAAGGGTGGGTGGGAAGTAGAAAGGATGTGCTATAAGCTTGACATACTGTTCTTGTCTTCCCCACTAGAGGGAGCTAGATATTCATTTAAGAATAAGCAGCCCAGATGAACGATATAAATACTTGCTAATGTTATTAGTATCTGATGACATTGTATATTTTTTTGATAAACTCAGGTTGAAATGCATGCTACTACTGTATTACAGTGTTGGTCACTACTGGCTCTGGACGTTACACACCTGCACCTGATACTATGAACATAAAGCGTTCACTGGTTTGTTTTCTTAAATCATTTTGTACATTATATGATTTTAATATCCATATATTGCTTCCATTTTCTTTTATATTACATTTAATTTTGATTATGTTTACCTTTTACATTAATATCCTATATGACAGTTTTACATGTATCACAATATTGTAGTTTCCAGTACAATAGAGTAATATTTTGCAGAAAATGAACATTGGTACTCTTTCACCATACTTCAATTTAAAATTATAATACATATTAATTGTGGCAATCGGTGTGATTAGGGGTGGTATAAAGTATTGTAGCAAAGGCGTTATGTGTCAAACATTCTTTGTGAAATATTTTTTTCACCATGACTGTGTAATCTGTGACTTTACAAACCTGAAAAATTAGCCTCCATCATAAGCCATTTTTACATATTAATACTTAAGCTTTTATTTTTGTAAAAGTACTTTAAACTGCCAGTTGGAAGAGATAATATTACTGGTGTAAACTTACATTTTTTTTTGGTGTCCAGAGTGTTTTATTCTGCCTTTAATGTATTGACACTTGTTTTTAGAATAGCCATAAGTGGATATATTTCTCTCTTTATAAACATAATTTTTTAAACCCCTTAATTATGCGAAACCTAAATAAAAACTTAATAGATGTCTTTTATGAAGTCTGTTTTTTTTTCTTTGCATACAGTTGGTTAAGATAATACTCAGTTGAAATAAAATCCAATCCCATTCTCGCCACTAGCATGGGCCTTTCCTTTTCTTATAATACAGTAGTAGTATAAGATGCTGGTGCTAGATCCTCTGAAGGCTCTTTGATTGTGTTTAAACGCCAAAAAATTCAGCCAGAATGTGATCTTAAAAAAGGGAACTTTGCTATTTTCAGTCAGTTATATAACAAAAACAGTTAGAGTCCTTATTCTTCTACTTTTGCACTATTACTGTAAACTGATAAACTGTTTAGTCACGCAATGAATGGAAATGAGCTACGCTTAGATTGTGCAAATAGTCCATGGAAAAACATCAATAAAAAATAAAAAGAACCGTGATGTGTGATGTTCTTTTGATTTCAATACTAAAATGAGTAGAAACTGACCATTAACAACCACTGATAGTGAAAAAGTTCAACTTTAGTACTATGAATGAACTTCTTTGTTATAGTCATTTCAATATGTTTAATAACAATGCTCAGACCTTGTAAACGGTTATGTAAAGGCACTGTGCTTGGTAACCACCTTCATCTGGTCTTTCATCGGTTTCCTTAAAACATCTTTGTTAATGTTTCTGAATGTTGAATTTTTAATGGAAAAACCTGATCTGAGGTGCAGAATGAAGAGGGAAACGAAAACTATTCATTTTCTCCCTTCTGAAATAAGCTGCAAACCTTCATTGGATAAGTCCAAGTAATTCTCATTTACAACAGCCTTTTCAACAACAGCACCTTTTGTTATGACAAAAATTATCTGCTGTGAAAATACTCGTATCTTTTGATGAGCCTGGTGTTTATGAAAATTATCATTACTAAGTTATATTAAGAGCTTCCTTATAAGGTAACTATTTAAGGGCAAATTTCTCTTATATATAGGGTTTGTATTATACTTAAGGATATGTGTGAATCATGGCAAATATCAAGTTTCAGCTATTTTTGTGGTGCAGATGGTTTTCATGTTATATGGCAATATTTTCCGGAATACATGATGTCCTACTTCTCTGAGTGGTACAGATAATTAAGCTGTGGTTGGAAAATAGTGTGGAGGAGTGCACGTGGAGGAAGGAGGATGTGATTAAAAATAACACTTCATGCCATTTTTTCCTTTTTTTCTGATCATCAAATAAAATTCTTCTCATGACATAGGTATGGCAGTGGTTATATTTGCAGTAGTACTGACGTGGATAGATGGTCAGATTGTTGTGGACGGGCGATGTCTATGATAGAGCAAGTCACATTTTCTGTATGTGCAAGTAAGCCTAGCTCTTCTAGGCTTCAAGTGACATCCATTCTTTTATTAAAGGGTTTATGAAAGGGCTGTAACACACACACAGATTCTAGATCTGACCAACCTTCTCAGCCGTGGGCAAAAGATGACAACCAATAAAATTCTAAAAGATAATTTATTAGTACACTGATCATAAAAGTGAAGGGACAAAATAGTCCAGTGTCCCACTTGCAAAAGGGATACAACACACAGTTCAAGCTATGCCACACTTCACTATGGTGACAACTTTAACAGGAAACAACAGTTGTCCTCCAAGACCCAACGCCCTGTAAGTAAAGGGCTGATAATCACTCTAGCCTCAGTAAACCAACTCTGCCTTTAGGCTGTGTCACATAGTAGGCACAGAGAAACAAAATATCACAGCATTGTATTGGGTATAAATAGACCAGAGTATCAGTACAATCAAATAAACTGCCTTCAATGAATCCAACCCCATAACAACCACTTGTTCACAGCAATTGTGACACACAAAAACCTCCCAAACTAGTGCCCAATACCCACAGCAAAGATGGAGATGAGTAAATATAGGCAGTACTAGTCCACCATATTACAGGGGCATCACTATGGCAGCTCAGTATAAGCCAGTGTAAACAAGCCAAGTCAGTCTTTGTATATTAGAATGCTAACTTTAGCATTCTAACACAAATACATATACAGTATAGCTACTATTAGCTGGTCTCCTGTTCATAAGGGATTGCTACAAGAATCAGGGATCAGGAATCCTTCATTGGTTTGGCAGATGTATAAACCAATACACTACAGAGACACTGTGACTGCACGATTATTTGACTTCATTAGTCTCTCACATTGTTGTGGAGAAATTTTGACCCACTCTTCATTACAGTGTTGCTTCAGTTCATTGAACTTTACAGACATTTGTTTATGTACAGCTCTTACGGTACTGGCATGTTAATTAGGTTAAGGTTTGGACCTTTACTGGGCTATTTACTGGGCAACACCTTGATTCTTTTCTTTTTTAGTAATTCTGTAGATTTGTTGCTTTCTTGGCTATCATTGTCATGTTGCATAACTCAGTTTTGGCCAAGCTTTAGGTGTTAAACAGATGACCTCACATTTTATTCTAGAATACTTTGGTATACAGAGGAGTTCATGGTCACTTTAGTGACTTTAAGGTGACAGTTGGTATGAGCTGTGTTTGGTTTTCACCAAATGTGGCAGTGTGCATCAAACATCTCCAAATTGTTCCAGTGTTTAGCTTTGTTCAAAAGCAACTTTCCAAAGACATGTAATTTTTAGAGAGTGGAGGCTTTCTTCTGGCAACCCTTCCAGATAAACCATATTTGTTTAGTCTTTCTCCAATTGTGCTTAATGAACTTTTACATTTAATATGCTAACTGAGGCCTGTAGAGTCCAACGTGTAGCTCTGCAGTTTTTCGGAGTATTGTACAGTCTGAACTTGACGTGGATTTACTGGGATGTCTAGTCTTTGGAAGATTGTGGCACACACCTGAATGCTCCAGACCAGCAAACTGACAAAACATCTGCTTTTATAGATGTCCTCATACTTGGTCATCATCAAATTAATGAGGTATATTTGATTAGCAGCACACGGCTGCTAATTACCCTGTTAATTCCTATGGAAACAGAGAGTGTGTACCTAACTTTTTAAGTACATAACCTCACTAACATAACTAAATATAATCTATTTTTCTGACAACTGTAATTCTGTACTTAAACTTACCCTGGTTTTCAACCATGAAAAATGAGGAACAGTTTTTTGAGATTAACAATGTAGCGCTATGTAGATGCCTGCAAAAATGGTAACACACACAGCTAACATTTCACCACAGCTTGTTACAAATATTACCACCAGGTGTAAAACTGTCACCTTTGAACTCTTTGTGACCCCACATTTCAATCAACACCACTGGGAACTTTACTATCTGTTGTGAGGAGCAATCCCTTTATTGTTGCAAATTCAATTTAACAAGGATTTAGAAGACTTCCTTAGAAAAAAATCACTCTCCTTTGACATGTACTGTAAAAGAGCACACATTACAGAATTTACTGGAGTTGTTACTGCTGTTACTGCTATAAGCTATCATGTTTCCAAGGAACATTCCAGATTTGTTAGGAATTACATATTCAGACCACACAGAATGACCTCACTGATGTCGGTGCGGCAATTTTGATGCCTGACATGTTCCAGACTGTGAAAAACATTCTGGAAAAACAACAATGTGTTGTGCAAAACATCTGAAACTTCATTATAATTAAACACATTTGCTTTCGATAACTGTGTAATATTTTGCAATACATATACTTAAAAATGACACAATTGGTTACACAAAAAATAAACATCTGTGAGTCAAACATATTTAATATACTACAACAGTGGTGGGTTAAGCAGACGTGTCAGTTCGGGAAACTAGATGGGCTGAATTATTTGTATTCCTGACTTGTGATTTACAACATTAAAAGGTTTTTGAAGTCAAGCTGTAGTTCAATATTGACGTTGCAATGAAAAAATACAAACTCAGATCAAAAAACATTTGTCAAACATTACAAAAATATAACCGTATTAATTCGAATGAAGTATTAACAATCTATACTTTTAAAACTGTATTTGCAGATTGTGATTTCCTTTGTTAGAAATCATAACTGTGATATGAAACAAATTTATTCTTCAGCTCTAGCAACAAGCCAGCATTATAGTAGTAATCGATTCACAAGTTTGGCTGATTATTTTATATTAACTGAACTGCTTGGTGTAATCACTCTGCATATTTTTAATGATGTTGAAAGATGTTAAAATTCATTTTAACATCTGTTAGCATTTGTCATGCATGCAATAAGCATATCCTATTAGTATTGTGATAAATCGGCGAAACCCAAGCTGGAATAGAAAACACGTTTTCTCATTACATTTGCTGTTCTGCTCTGAGAATAAAATGGAACGCAGATTGCTCTGTGTTGCAGTGACTACAATTGTCTCCCAACAGTATACAGAGAGTGGAATTTCTGGTATCTGTATTTTAAACCCAGGGTGATAAACAAATGGCTGAAGCAACATCTGTGCAAATGGAGCCTAAGAAAACACTATATACCCACAAGGGTAGAAGAAAACAGATGTAAAGTATAAAATGGGGGATGGTTGTTTGCTTTTACACTGAAATAAGAAAGACTGGACTGGAGTCAGTTTAGACTGCCCGTGCCTATGAAGGTAAGTGTATCAGAAACAGCTTGTTTACAAAAAAGATTTAGAAGCTGTTTTAATTTGTAAATAAAAAAAGAAAGAAAGATTTTTGACAAACTAGTCAAAAAATGAAACAGACATTTGTGTTTTAGAGAGTTTTTTTTTTTTTTTTTTTGCCGCCTGTCCCGTTTGGCTCTTTTGCCATCAGAATTGAGAGAGATTTTTTTAAGACCAACACTATAATACATGTATATACAGAGCTGTGGAAAAAGTATTTGCCTGCTTCTTGATTTCTTATTTCTTTGCAGATCTGTCACACTTAATGTTTCAGATCATCACACATATTGTAATATCAGACAAAGATGATTGAATGTTAGTGTCAGTTCTTATCCAAACCTACCTCACTCTGTGTGGAAAAGTAATTGCCCCATTGTTAAATCCTGAATTAAGTGTGGAAAGTCACACGAGAAAGTCAAATCTCAATCACTTGAGTAGAAACTGTCTGAGAAACTGAAGTAGGCTGAAAGATCTCAAAAGCAACAGATCATACCATGATCTAAATCAGGGGTGGGGCAACTTCAGGCCTCAAGGGCTGGTGTCCTGCAGGTTTCAGATATCACTCTGGGTCAACACACCTGAACAAATGATTAGTTTGTTACCAGGCCTCTGGAGAACTTCAAGACATGCCGAGGAGGTAATTTAGCCATTTGAATCAGCTGTGTTGGATCAAGGACACATTTAAAACCTGCAGGACACCGGCCCTCGAGGCCTGGAGTTCCCCACCCCTGATCTAAATAAATAAAGAACAAATGGGAAACAAAGTAACTGAAATCTATCTGCTTGTAAAGGGTTACAAAGATGTTTCTAAAGCTTTGAGATGTCAGAAAACCATTATCCACAAATAGAAAACACTGAGGAAGGTTCCCAGGAGTGGCTAGCCTACCAAAATTACTCCAAGATCACCTCAACAGCTCATCCAAGAGGTCACAAAAGAACCCAGAACATACTGTAAAGAAGTGCATGCCTCATTTGTTTTAGTTAAAATCAGTCAAAGTTTTCATGATTTAACAATAAGAAAGAGACTGGGCAAAAATGTCATCCATGGATTACGAAAAGGGTTAGGGTGTAGAACTAACACAGCATTTCATTAAAAGAATATCAAACCAGCAGTGAAACACGGTGGTGGTAGTGTGATGGTCTCCTGCTTCTGCTGTAACTGGAACCATGAATTCTTCTCTGTACCAGAAAATCCTAAAGTCCAGTTATCGTTTCAAATCTTCAAGCTCAAGTACACTTGGATTATGCAACAGAATAATGATAAAAAAAAAAACATAAGCAAGTCCACCATTAAATGGCTAAAAAAAGAAAACAAAATTAAGGTTTTGGAATGGCCTAGTCAAAGTTCAAACTTAAATCTGATTAGGATGCTTTGGCATAACATTAAAAAAAGCTATTCATGCTAAAAATCCTTTAGTGGGACTAAATTAAAACAATTCTGGAAAGATAAGGTGGCCAAAATTCCTCCACTGCGATGTTAAACACTTGTGCCAGTTATTGCAAACGCTTGATTGCAGTTGGCATATATAATCGGAGACATATCAGTACTAAATGTTAAAGCTAGGGAAGTGTCTGATTATACTCCCGATCCAGAAGTGGGACAGTGGGGATAGGCACTGTCTTGCTGAAACAGCCACAGGGTGCCGTACTGCTTCTACCTACTATTGAAGCTGGAAATCTAAAGACTAGAGCACAGTGGGAACAATAGTAAGCAGTATAAACATAATGAGCAAACCAAGTAAAAACAGGGCTGTTTAATATTTCGTAAAATTTATGACAAAACCACAACCCTTTGGTAGTTGATGACATCTTAAAATCTGTGGGAAAAAGGACCAAAATCCTACTCTACACTTTCTAAATTGTGAACTTAACCACACACCCAGGCTTCCCTTGTGACCACTGAGATATAGATGTCACATATCAGATGCACTGAACCAACTACTGTCAGTGAACAGAATCAAGGCAACAATTACTTGTCCTCCAAACTGCATTTGGAAAACCAAATTAGTAGGGTATGTACACATATTTATAGTGATGAGGTGGCACTATATTGGCAGGTTTACTACAAGGTTGAATCTTCTTTTCCTTAACCCACTTCTGGTACACATTTTGAGGCCTTGCGGTTCTAACTTTGCAGCCTACTGATGACATTCAAATGAAAGTCTGGAAAAAAGAGCTTATTACATGTGTCTCAAAACTCCAGCTTGTCCAGTAGAAATGGACATTCATAAGACTAGAACTCACATATATTTAAGAATTGCAAGAAACTATACACTTGATAAATACAAACTGCTGCCTCAAGTGGTTACAGTAAGCTGTGGCCTGTTTTCAGTAGATAAAAAGCCATCCACGTAAAGAGGGAATTAATCCATATCTAAACCCTTTCCCCTTGTGCAGCTAGACTCTGTGACTATAACAAATGTGCACGCTGTGCTATTTAAAGGTCTTTGGTCTAAGATTAAATGCAGTGTTACCTTCTAGCACTTCCTTCGAGGAATCCCTCAGCCACACCCTGGGCCAATGGAAGTCCTAAAATCCCATAAATGTGACCACAGGAGCCAGGCGATGACGTGGTGACGTACTGGGTGCTCGGGAAGATGACCTGCTGAAGTAAGAAAAATGAGTTTTACTCTTTCCATTGATCTGGACTAGTAATTACACTTTCTGTGAAGTGATCAAAGGATTGGGATAAAAATAAAACCCATTCTTTTACAATCACAGTGCAGTTGCGGGTTCTCATGAATGCTTTAGGGGTTTCTGTTATATGTGACTCACCAGTGCAATTGCAAAACCATACCAGAAAAAGAGGGTTGTGTTAAAAATAGAGCACAAAGTAGAACAAAATCCAGGGCCAACTGACAGATAGTCAATATTCTGGTTTATATATTTCCTAAACTATTGCACTGACATGAATTAAATGAGTAATATATATTATTCTTTACATTTTATTCTCACTATTGTTTGTGTTAGTTACCAGTTAATGAGCAGTTTTGTCTTCAATTGTCCCTGTTTCTCTCATCTTTTTAAGCCATTTTTGCTGTTTTCTGTTCAGTATTGAGCATCTTCTTTGAGACCTGTCTCCCTAATGAATCATCTGTTTCTTCTTGCAGCTTGATTAAATTTAAGCAGCGCTTTTAAACCCACTGTCTCCACAACACTGCCAAAAATAGCGGATGGTCTGCTGTCGTCAGGGAGCTACAACACTATTTAGCCTTTTACTCACTTCAAGTGACAGTGAATGCTGGAGGCTTGTGTGTTCTTGTTTTCCACAAAAATGAGCTTAAATTAAAAGGCGGGCTTAAGAACACACCACCTGTGCTGCAGGAAACTTTCAAACAGCCGGCATTCCTTTTAAAGGTTGATAAACAGCTGTATTTAACCGTGTTGCCATCCAAAGTCTCCAAGTATCCCCTGATACGCAGGCAGATAGAGTGGGGATAATGAGGTCCAGGTGTGTCTTGTTGCAACGATGAGCTAATGGCGTCTCTGCCATTACCCCCGTCACCGCAGCCATCTCCCAGTTTCTGTACCCTGCACTTGCCCATTTTTGTGTAATTAAATGCAATTTTCTCACCCACACCACATACCCAATGTTTAAACTTGTCAACAGTGCTACTGCCACCACCGTGGACTCTTGACATGTCATTACTTCAATCTTCAGTGCAGACAAAACTCTATAGATGGCCTCCTGCTTTTTTTGCAGCTCTATGGTATGTCACATTTCCAATTACTGTCTCTGGCAGAAAATGAAATACCCTGTATGACTTCTGGACATTTTTGTCAGGGTGTAATCAAATCTAAAGAACATTACATTAGCTTTTTCAGATATCTAATGGATATTTAGTCAGTGAACTGAAGCAATGGTTGTAGCATATTCCTGTCACAAGCTTCCAAAATAAAACATTAGGTTTTGCACCACAAACACTTTTATTTTCCAGCTGCAGAGAGTTCCCTCACAAACCCACAGGGCAAAAATCCCTGTTATAAGTTATATGTTTGGTGCTGAGCTGTCAAATTGCTTTAATCCTTCTTTTGGCTGTGAATGATTGGACTGAAATTTTTGCAAAAGTGCAAAAGCAAGGGTTGTTCTACTGTTATAACTTGGTCTGCGTTAGTTTGAGTTTCCGAATAGGAGGAATCTCTGTTGTTGAAAGTATTTCTATTCAAGACAAGATTTAAAGAGGTAATTTTCTCATGACACTAATGACACACTAATTTCAACAAGCGTGCCTGCCCAGTGCTTGCTATAGTGTCAGTTACACACTGACTTACCAAAAAAGAAGAAATTAAAAACAAAAACAAGAGAACAGCTGAAATCAAAGTCAAACATCCAATACCAACTTTCTGGCATGACTCTACATTTTATAGTTCTATCAGGGCCTCACTGGAAAGAAGTAATAAAGGTTCTCACTCTAAATTTAAAACCACGATTCTGGTGATGTCATTAAGCAAAACAATCTTCTGGCAGTGATTACAACAGCCATGCAAAGTGTTTACCAGGAAGAAATGGTCTGAGCTGGGGGACAAGTCTGTTACTCTTAATAATGAACCAGGGACACAAATCACAGAAGGCATTAGTTTCAGTGTCAACTAAAACACAAGGAAACACAAATACAATGTGACAGTTAATGAAAGCCAGATTTATCATCTGGTTTCTGCTTTCTCCTTCATTTCTTCTTGTTGAGGGCATACAGCAGCTCTAACATGTGTAGTATTGCATAGCTGCTTCATATATGTCGATCGGCTCGATTATGTTACAGGATTCCCTACTGTATATCATCACCTGGATGAGGATCTGCATTTGATGGGACCAGTTGGTCCTTGGGAGGATGGTCTACTCAACCAACAGGACATATACATGAAATGATCCATAGCCAGGAAGATCGCATGGGATTCCAGCAACAACCGGCTGCTGTCCGTGCTGCCATCAGGGAGCCTGCAGCCTGCCAAGACAGAAAGGACGAAGAGCTTTTATCCTACTCGTAGCTGGACTGTCACATAAGCTGCGCATTCTAACTGTATAAGTTTACATGTCTAATCGTATATGTATTCAACTCAAGCTTGTGCTATAATACCAAATTATTTACACTCAATTATAAGGATTATTTAACTATTCAAGTAAGTAAAAAGGAAAAACTTTCTCATACTGTAATTTCTCTAATGGAAAAAAAAACTGATGGCCAAACAGTCTCCTTCAGGATTTTGCTTTTCTGGTAGAGTGCAGAATTCCTGGTTTCATCACTTATGGCAAGCAGCAAAGCAGCTTCAGCCACACTGCTACCACCATGTCTGATTGTTCTCATGTTAATTTTATGAAATGTGGTATTAGTTTTATGACAAATCTAATTGGACTCAAACCCCCCAAAAATTAATCTTTTGTCTTTTCACTCCACGGGATATTTTCTCAAAAGCCTTGGGGATCATCAAGAGTTTTCTTTTGGGAAATATGAGATGAGCCTTTGTGTTCTTTTTAATCACAGTGGTTTTGGCTTTGAAACTCTCCCTGTGGATGTTGTTTTTGGCCAGTCTATTTCTTATTACTGAATCATAATAACTGACCTCAACAGAGGTCAGTTATTTAGACATTGTTCTGTGTTTTTCTCCCGAAAAATGTGGTTAATCACTGTTAAATAATTTAAAATAAGCATCAGATAAGTCTGTATAGCATTTTTTCCCTTGAATATTGAAATAATGATGCAAACAAACAAACAAACAGCTTTGTCTGGTTTTCTTTGTCTAATGATATCCTAATAATGTATTATTATTTTTGTTTTTTGACCATCTGAAACGTCTAAGTGTGAGAAATATGCAAGAAAGTAAGAAAGAAAACAAGAAGTTGAGATAATAAATAATAAATAAATAAAATAAGTAAAACTTATTTTTTATTATAGTTATAAAGGAAAGTAATTTCTGGAAACGGACTTTTATATATATATTTTTTTTACACTAATGAACTGTTTCAACTTCCCTGCAGAAGGGGAGCAGTGTTGGTCAACCAGATGCCATGTGCTCAGGGGGGAGGGGACAGTTAACAGCCGACGGGGTGCGGGGTTCAAATACAGCTGCGCTTACTCACACTTTTCGCGTAGGACGTCCCTGTGCCAGGGGTGAATGAATACCGTTATCTTTTCCTCTGCACCGTCTCACTTCATAGGCTTTACCGGGAACTCAAGCTGCAGCTGCAATTAAGGAACCACGCCTGTTGCTATTTAATTTCCCTGAATTGTAGCACTTATACGACAGCTCCCTAGAGCTAAAAGAATAGTTACAGGCTCCCAACCAGAAATCACACTACTCGTTGATTTTTTTTTCCTAAATCCTCCCTTATTAATCGTATTATCGCGAGAGCCAATAGTACGAGCCTCCTGGGCTGATCTTGACCACTGCTGCCGGGCTGGGAGTTAATATCCCAGCTCTCTGACCTGGAGCACGCACTATAGCAGAGATGGAATACCTCATGGTTTTAGTGATTTCATCCTCGATCAAGTTTGCAACTTCTGTCTTGTCCAATGATGTTCCTCAAGCCCCTGTGCCAATTCCTAAAGGTAAGAAACGATTAAAAAAACAAAACAAAACAAAAACTTTCACTTCTTGTTTAGATACTGGCAAATATGGCTACTTTGACACCGCCACTGGCTACATCACATTTTACTGCGTTTACATGTTGCTATATTTTCCTGCGTCTGAGTTGTCATGCCAACTGTGCAAATACGAAGTTGTGTAGGTTATTTTTCTGGCTGTAATTTCCGGTTACATGATGTCTACATGAGACGCAGGTTGCCTGCCTGCGGCTCCCTGTGTGGGAAAGTGAATATGTCTAGCGCGACATATGTCGGAACGTAAAATTACATGATGTTGCTTGACAGAAGAGTCGTCTGCGGTTTCTCACAATCCTGTTTTTATTTGTTTGGCTGCACACAGCGCTGGCTTTTCATAAAGATGTCAGGCTGTAAATTTCACTGCGAGAAATAACTAACCAATTGCGGGCGAGTCTTTGATGATTTCACTAGTTTCCCCTTACTCTGCATTAAGACTAAACATTCAAATCGTTATTGACTCAACCTAGATCCTAGTGAAATCCCCGAGTATATCATTTTATTTATTAATTTATTTATTATACAGAAAACAAGCAATTGTGTGATTGAGATACAGAGAAACGCCTGTAAACGTGTTATAATTTAAGGTTTATGGAACAGAGCCAAACACTGCTCAGATCTTGAGACAGGCTTTATTCTGATGTAAAGGGCTAAGCTCCTTGAAGCAAATCGTGTCACATTTTTATTGACTTTGGGAGGGGGAAATCCACCCTCTGCTAACACGTAGCTGTCGTTAAACTGCTCTAAATTACCCTCATATTATTCCCGTTTAGCATGACTTCTTCCATAGTCACAGAGCACCTTGTAAAACCTATAGACAACATAAGCAGATGTTGTGGCTTGTGTTTTAGTTAAATCTGGAAATCTGATTCTTTTCAAATGATGCATCTGGGATCATTTGAAAAGCTGGGAGATCTGACTATCAGGACACAACAGCTGCTTTCAGTCTCTACAGGCTTGTTTTGTCATCTGCTCTGGACTAACCAAGCGCCTTCCACACAGTAGCCACATTAACTTTACGAGGGATATAATGTTTTATTGTGAAAGCCTTCGATCACTAAACTGATGCAATATGTTGGCTAAATTTGTGACAGAGAGCAAACTTTCAAAAACCATGACTAATATTAAAATTGAACCCGTAAACTGTAAACTCTACATATAAAGTCATTTAAAATGAGAGCACTGGACATTTCATTTTACACATTGTATATAAAGGTGGTGCTTACTAAAGTGATTAAATGAAAAGAACTAGGAGGGAATTCAAAGCTGTTTTAGTTTTGGGTAGTTCTACGTTAAAGATTCAGTACATGGTAGTGGATGATTGCAAGACTTTCTTTTGGCATCAACTCGATGAGTATTTTGCAGAAAGGCAACATTTCCAGAGAAACACCTTGGTAGTTGTGTGTTTGCCAGGTGGACATAAATATGTTTCATTAGAACAACTTCAAATCACATGCTGCTATGAAAGAACAAGGTGTCACCACTGTTTAAGTAAAAGTAGAAATGGTAGCTAATAAGGCACCAATGAAAGGACCCTAAGTCCCTAGGTGTTCGTTAAACACTGGTTGTAGCACAAGATGCAAACGGTGTGATTTAGCACTGAAAAGGGTTCAGTAGAAGAGGAGGAATTTACAGCTCTGCCCATTTCTCACCAGTGTGCACCTGGCCACTCATGGTGAACAACGGACATGGCTGTTTGGTTTGTCCGTTTTGGAAAGTTACAAAAATTGGGGCTGTGTAGACCCCCACTGTCCAGCAGTCTGAAAGAAGCCTTTCACTTATGTCTGAATGACTGTGTGAACTTCGGACGGAGCATTGGATTCAATATGCAGGTCTTGCTAATCCAAGTTTGAATAGTTTGCTGCAACACATAGTTTAAAATAACCAGCTCACTGTTAACCTCTGACAGGCATCCTATCAGAACTAGTATCATTTAATATGACGCAATGCCTGAAGTTTAATAGTAAATGCCGGCTAGGTTAAAGGCTATTTCTCATGGCTTGTACTCTGTCCCCCTATTCCATGGATAATGCATCTCTCAGCCTTTTCCCAGACATCATTGACGTGTCAACAGGCAGCATTTTATAGAGAAGAAAAGGAAACCCCACCTAAGGTTGTCCATGCCTTATATACTGTATAATAGCGCTCTCTATTGCCTGTAATTCCAGTCTAACAAACTTAACAAACCTTGTTGCCAAGCCAAGGTTGTAATCATGCCTTAGAACGTTGTCACTATGTCACCACAAGGTTGGTTTCGTGCCTTCTTTATGCCAAATATGTGTTGTGTTGTCTGCTTTTTTGCATTGCCTTGTTTTCTCTCTGCTGTTTCCCAGGGATTTTATGTTAACTTGTAAATGTATAGATACATGAAAACTGCAAGAAGCACAGTTCTCAAGGAGAACTGAAAGTCAATGACACTTTAAAAATGTCAAAACACTCCCTATTGTACAAATAATCAATTATTTTAAGTCATTTTAAATGGCTTTCTGGGAATCATGCAGCTGTTGATCTTTGACAAAAGACATGCTGGCTGAACCTTATATTGATGCAGCTGAAAAGACTGAAAAGGCAGTACTTTTCAGACTCCTGCATATTCGTCAAAATTTCAGGACTCATTTAGATTGTAGTAATATTGGCCAGAATGTCAAAAATACTGAGGCTGGAAAATTTACCTTCACTTGCCAACAAGTTAGACATTGGGGCCAGTTTGCAGACTTTGCCTCTGAAAGTCATTAATGCATTTATAGTAGAGAGAAAAACAACAAAACTTTTTTAGTTATTATTTATTTATGCTACAAAGTCAGAGACATGCTCATGTGCATTCCTGCTGTTCTGCAAAATTAAACAAAACTGAAAAGATCAAGGTGTAACATGAACAATGAGACAGTACATTAAGTTTTGATTTGTACTTCATAAAACTGCAGGATAAGTCATTAGTCCGGGTGAAGGATGTGCTCATCAAGTGCCTTTTGTAGTTGATTATAATGTTGGTTTAAGTAATTGATACACAACAAAACCAATTTTAAAAAAGAAAAAATCAAAAGTAAAGCCATGTTTGTGCTATTTAATGAGGCAGTGATTCAGTTTATATGAGTAATCATTGATTCTTGTTAAAATAAATTTCATAGCTGAGAAGAAGCCAACCCATGCTCTTAGGGACCCGCTCATTGTTTGCCTTAAACAAATCATTTCATTCCCTTTCCAGGTGCAGCAAAAGAAGCAAATTTAATGTCCGTTTTTCTCTCTGAAAACTGTGTGACAGTTCTGACAAATGAGAGGAGAGAATCAATATAATTATGATATAAGGGTGAATTCTTCTGTTAGAAATTACTTGGGACTCTGTGTTGTTGGTTTATTACAAATTATTCCTCTATGCAAACCTGAAATCTATGTGTAACCGCTGATATATATATGTGTAGAAGAACATAAAATATTATTTGCCCATCAAATCCTGAGCCATCATTGGTAATGAAGTCACTGTTACGTTGCCAGAAAACTAAATGTTCACATCTTTTGGTTTTTCTGCAGTACGTACAACTAATTGAATTTATGCACTGTTAGAAAACCTTGCTATGAGGGCATCTCTGAAGAAATATTTCAAGCACAGTTCATTGGCTTTGCCACTGATGATGCTGGAGGCATGATGGGCCGACACTCCTCATTGAAAAAAATCGCCAAGATGACTATTATTTATTGAAACATTTAGAGTACTTAGAACTTGTGGTCCATAATGCTGGAAAACACATTACAGATGAATTTTCACGTTTCTTAACTCTTAAAAGTTTGAAGTTCTGCTGGCGACCCCTCCTTCTCAGGTCAGATATGTACAGATTTGGGTAAAAAGAAAGACTCAATCACTGTAAAAACTACTATCCAGGAAAGTAGGAGAAAATCTGAAATCAAAGCAAGTATTTTCTTAGGAATCTACTGCAGTGTTATGTTAATTATTTTTTTAAACTAAAAGCATTTTATACTGTTGCATTTTAACATTACGGTATGTCTTATTAAAATACTGAAGTTAAATGGCACAACTACTCAAGTGGAGATGGGATGTAATCCTGGCATGTTTGCATTGTTGTGTTGGCTGTGAGTGTCTCAAACAAATTGTCAGACTGAGAATTGTGCATGTTAATTTAACACTAAACCTAACACGTTGCAACAGTAAGACATTAGTCTAACACACATATACAGTCCTGTTAACAGCTTTATTTTGACATATGGCGATTAATTGGAGGCCTTCCGCAATCTGATTGAGTGATTGAGTGAGTCCGAGTTGGACCAAGACAGATTGCCTTGCACTGAGCTTGCAGAGGTTGAGGATTTTGCATGCTCAACCTCTGGACAACCAGCTGGTTGTAATCAGTCTAAAACAGCAAAAAATTAAAAAAAAAACTGAAAATCAGCCCAATCACTTACACATTTGTCCTGGTTGCACAAAGGGTGACATTCAATTTCTACTCTAATGTGATTGAGACCTAAGTTGTGTTTGTTATTCCTTATACAGCAATTCAGCACAGAATACATTAGCATATTGATTGAGTGCTTAACCTGCGAGTGCAT